ACTACGCTACCAGAGCTCCTTAGAGCTCCTCAAATACTGGTAAGTCTTTGAATTTTACTCACCAATTGAAAACTGAGGTTTTAGAATTATTAATACTTAAAGATATACCAGGCTACTGGAGTCCTGGTGTGGCACTGTACGATAAGCACTGGAATGCTACAACAATGTTGGCGGTTCAAACCCACCAGCTGCTCCTTGGAAACACTATACATGGTTGTTATGAATTAGAACTAACTCAACAGCACTTAACAATAACAACATAGAAGTTACAGAAGGAAATAAGCATTTATGTATAGTTCTAACAAAGAAATACAAATTGCGCTCACAAGAATTATTAAGACTAATTATGTTAAAAGACTTTCTTAAAAAGGTCAACAATGCATTATTTCTTTTTCCTTTTTGCAACTTTTTTAGCAAATTGAGTGAAGCCTTATAGAGAAGATTATCAGATTTATATTCAACAAATCACACACTTTGTTTCATCACAATGATTACAATTCCCTCTTTGCAATAACAGTTATTCCACTTCCTTCCTGTGGTTTCTATTTCCATTCCATTCCCTCTCAGCTTTGTCCTTAGGTAAATGATGCCCTTTTGATCTTGAATGGTTGAACCATTCCATGGTAAGCATACCTTACTAGTGTTTTTACACACACACACACCCCATATCTACTCTTTGTCTGAAAATGGGTCACAAGTGTAAATTCCTTTCCAAACCTGAAGGGTGACCAAGTATCAGAATCTAAGGTTCCTTCAGTCTCTTTCTGATCAGTGAGCCTGCTGGGTTTTTTTTTTTAATAATTTTGAGTTTTGGTTTTTTCTACATTTTTTCCCATTCTATCCAGGACTTTCTGATGTGATATTCCTTTCAGAGCAGTTGGTAGTGGTAACCACGTACCATCTAGTTATTCTGGTCTCAGAGTTGTGATGTTCACATATTCCTTTTGCCCACACAACTTCAGTTTTCACCATTCTTCTTTTTTTCATACATAGAGAGACCAATAGTTGCACCCTGGATGGACAATCATGAGTTATGAAGATCCCAGACATTAGTTACCCAAGTAGGATGAAGAGCATTGTCTCTGTGGACGGTGGTATGTCAGTTGACCATGGTGTCCCCTAAGACTACAGTCCTGAGCCTCCACGTTTAGCAACTCATTGCCTTAAGATGTTTAGTAATATCTAAGAAGAAGTTTTTCTCATTTTGACCCCTGTATGCTACAACACATTCATAGGTATGGTCGGTCAATGCATTATTTCTTACTCTGACTAAAAAGCATACAATTGTTAATTTTAGTATTATGAGTACGAGAAGGCTTTAAAAGGTTCATGGAAAAATGGGACAAAAGGATAATAGAATTTTTCCATGAACTTTTTGAAGTCCTCCTGGTACTTTATAATGAAATACTTATTTTAAGAGAAAGCTGTGATCTCAGGAGTAATCAATCCTAAGTATATATGTGAAGAAAATATTCTTTATACAAATACATATATAGAAGAGTGAGAGAAAAATTATCTCTATTCTGGCTATAGAATTTATTTTAATCAACTTTTAGAAAAGACAAATAGATCATTTTTTTATATAATCTTGCTTTCAATACACTTTGTACATCTGTCAAGTTTTTGCTTTCGCTTATTACAAAATGTTTTAGGCTGAGCTGTGAGCCACAAATACACAGCTGTCTTCACTTCTTCATCAAATGTGAATTTTCATCCAAAAAGGGCTGCTTTCAGGGGAACAAACAGGTGAAAGTCTAATGGATCAATCAGGACTATAGGAAAGATGCTTTAACACCTCAAAAGGAAGCTTCTGCAGTGTCAACAGTGTGCACAGAGGTGTGTGGACATGTATTATTATGCAAGAAAACAATGCCCTTGGATAGCAGTCCTCTGCATTTAGGCTTCAGCTCTTCAATGAGCATCCCACTGTAAGGAGCACTGTTGACTGGTGAAACCTTTTTCCTGGTAGTGTTCCAATATGGCCCTTGAGAATCCCAGAAAATTGTAAGCATCCATTTTCCAGCTGATGGTTGACTTCGGAACTTTTTCTCAGTCTGCGATTGAGGATGTTTCCATTCCATACTCTGCTGTTTACGCTCAGATTCATAGTGATAAACCCTTGTCTCATCACCAGTAGCAATTTTTTTTTAAGAAACTTTTACCTGCCTTCAAGCATCGGTTCAAATTTTGTTTTCAGATGTCCAAATACTTCTGTTTATGCTCTTCTGTGATTTGTTTCGGTTCTCATCTTGCACAAACACTTCAAAACCCAAGTCTGACGTGGATTATTTCATAGGCAGAGCTATGGCTGATTTACAAATGATTTGCCGTATAATCCACTGTCACTCACCTATCCGACAGAATCATGTCACTCACATGTTCAATGTTGTAATCAACCATGGACATGGGCAGGAGTTTTACTATAACTGGAGTGTGGATAATTTTTGACTCACCCTTATATACACGGGAGCCCTGGTGTGCCGCTGTAGAATAAGCATTGGGCTGCAAATTACAAGGTTGGCAGTGCACAGTCACCAGTCGATACTTGGAGCCCTACACAGGGTTGCTATGAGTCAAAACCAACTCGACAGCACTTAACAGCATGTATATACATACAGACCAATGCACTTACTCCAACAGGCTGAAAAATGAGTCCATCCATTTCATGGCTGACTTCTTTGGCAAAACTTCCTTCAAGTAGCTAGAAAATAAATAAATACTTTTTAGAAATACAATAATCATTTTTAAAGTATTTTAATTCTTGATAAGCTTCATAAAATGTAATACATAAGCTTTTAAGAACTTAAAAACAAAATGGAGGGGTCTTCAGAGAGCTAGGTGAATACACTTTAAGATTTTTTTTTTAACATGGGAAATTTCCATCCCATCACAGCCTAGATATACTAAACAACAGTTCTAACATAACAATCAAAATGAAAGCATATTTTTAATGGATTGCTTAACCTATACAAAAGAAAAGGAACATACAAAAACCAAAAACAAAGTGGAAGTAGAAATCCTGGTAAACAATAAAGAGAGGAAATAAAAAAATAAACATAGTAAAGCAGAATCTCCATTGAGTCGTATCCAATCTGTCTGGGCAGGGCTGAAGAAAGGAGATGAGGACAAGTCCCCTGTGATACAACAGTGAATAATGGTTATCAGGACTGAATGTGAGGGTTGGAAATGTAAAGGTAGACGTCTTGTAGCAAAAGGAGGGGAGTGGGTGACTTTGCCAGGAGCAGAGGTCCCTGGGACCATCAAGGGAGAAGAGCAGAGAGCGGGACCCTATCCAGAGAAGCAGTGACGTCAGAGATGGCGGCAGAGACAATGACGTGGAGAGATGGCATGGCTGGGAACTCTAGACCCAGAGAGGAAAAGGGTCTGTGTGCTGACGACCGAGGGGCAGGCTTCCAGGGTATACCCTTTGGTTGGCTGATGATGCATGGAGGGGATTGTAACCATGGCAGTGAAACGATACACGATAGGATGAATGTAAAGCTAATGTTCTACCATGTAAACTATCACATAACTCACAATAAAACATTTTTTAAAAAAATAATTTTTTTTTTAAATGATGCCATTCCTTTGCTCAAAAAATAAACAAACAAACACAAAGGAGACAGTTGGAAGCTGGGAAAATGAAAACTTCGGCCAGAGAATATATAACCACAAACTAGCTCAACCACGGGAATTTTATTACAAAGACCTTCACATCCCAAAAACTCGAAAGCTGAGTATCTTTTAACATTTTCCTTTGCTCTACATATTGTTGTTTTGATTTTCTGAAGTTTAAAAAATACTTTTGTTCTAAAGAGAATTTTATGAGTGACATACAGTATGAAGCACAGTTTTTTCAATGTTATTTTAATAAAGAATCCATGTTATTGTTAAGTGCTGTCAAGTCAATTTCGACCCATAGCGACCCTATTTAGGGTTCCCAAGGAGCAGCTGGTGAGCTGGAACCTCCTACCTTGCAGTTCAAACAGCTTTGCAGTCTGGCGCATTAACCCATAGTGCCACACCAGGACTTCTTACAAAGGGTTAATGTGCTCAAACCATAAAGGCAATCCTAGATTCCAACTGGTTAATCCTATAACCAATTTGAGCTTGGACATAGAGGTTTCTTTCAAATTGCAATATTCCTGGTGTTTCTTTCTCCCCTTATTACAACAGTAAGAAAAAAGACACTGGAAAATTTAAGAAACTCAGAGCCAGAGTTTTGCCAAATGGGCAGCTTCAGGATAGTTTTCAGACTGTAAAAATGACTTCATAAAACCTGGTAATTTCACAGCACAAATTCTGCTGAGGTATGATGCAATAAAAATTAAACACCCCAATTAAATTGGTCTCTCCAGGTGTGGAAGAAAGAAGAATGATGAAAATTGATGCTCTTTGGAATCAATTAGACCAATGGACTAAAGGAACACATAAACATCAGTCTCCACGATTCTAAGACCAGAACTAGATGGTACTGGGTTACCACTACCAACTGCTTTGAAGGTGATATCACACTAGAAGTTCCTGGGCAGAGTGGAAGAAAATGTGGACAAATTTCAGAATTATTAAAAAAAAAAAAAAGAAAACGTTCAGCATTTCTCAAGCTGGGTGAACTGAAGAAAAAAAAAAAAAAAAAAAAGGACAGGCTTACTCTGAGAAAGATGCTGAAGGAACCCCCAAGACCATGGCCCACAACTACCCATCAGGGCTAGACTAGAACTTACCCTTGTAGACCAATTTTCAACCAAGTGGTGGACAGGTATATAGTAGGGACAACACTAGTCAAGTATGCTCACCACGAATGGTCAACCATTCCAGATAAAAAATACAACATTTACCTGGGGACAAGGTTCAGAGGGGTTGGGAAGGAAGGTGGAGTGGAAGCAGGAACCACAGGAAGAAAGTGGAATAACTGTAGTTGCATGGAGGGGATTGCAATCATTGTGATGAAACAAAGTATGTGATTCACTGGTTGTAAAACTGAAGACCTGCTCTGTAAACCTTTATTCAATTCACCATAAAATGTTTAAAAAAAAAAAAAATCTGAATGCCCCATATATATCTTTTAATAAATAAATAATAGCTTTTTCATCCTTAGACCAAACTTCCAAAATCCATGTAATGGACAATCCCTGTATGCAAAGTATAAAGCACAATGGATATACATAGTTATGTGCCAATATATAATTACGTTGTTTACAATGATTATTCTTAATAATATCCTTTCTCTCTCTCTCTCTTTATCTATCTATCTATCTATCTATCTATCTATCTATCTATCTATCTATCTATCTATCTATATGTGTGTGTGTGTAAAGACTACTCATCTGTCAGTTTGTTGTACTGTAGTGGCTTGTGTGTTGCTTTGATTCTGTAGGATATGCCATGGGAATTTCAAATACCAGCAGGGTCACCCATG